AGGGCTCTGGCACAGGGTTGTGTTTGAAAATTTTTCCTGCTTTCTTCGCAGTCCCTGGAGCTAGGGAGTTCAGATATTTAAAGCAAGGCAAAAGTAAACAGTGGGTCACATCACAGGCAGTAGAGGGGCAGGCAGAATGTGGAAGCCCTGCTGAAATCAGGCAGTGCATGGAGGTGAGGCCTGGTTCCCACCCAAGGGCCCTCACCAGTTAGGGGGGTTAAACAGCCATGTGTGGCTGGCGCTGTGCAGTGTGTCTGCTCCAAGGGCAGAGACATGACATGTAGCTGCTTTGGACACCTAGATAATGATAGCAAAGATTAACAGGGGACAGGAAAGGAGCTGAGGCTAGGCAGAAATTCCCCCACCCAGGGGCAGAGTCCTTGTGTTCTTCAAAGACATAAGGAGAGCTCAGCAAAGGAGAGGTGGCTGCAACAAAACCTGGTGCAAAGGGGTAAAGATGACCTCAAGAAACATCAGCAATGCTGGCTCGCTAGGCATTTCTTATCTTGCATGTTTATTTCACACCGTTTAGCACAGTCTGCATGGTCTATCCTGTCAACCCATGGACTTAGGCAATGCAACAATGATCCCTTTGGGGCTGGGGATAGAAAATGACCAAACTGGGGTATCAGGTGTCCCCCACCCCCAGAGGTGCAAATCAGAAAATCCATGGAACGCTGCTGGAGTTTGGATTCTGTCTTCCTAAAAATAAAACAAAGGTTTGAGAATCAATTGGAAATTGTTGGATTATGTTCAAAATTCAGTGAGGGACCAAATGGATTATCCAAATCACTGTGTGCCCTGAATTGTTTTTGCAGCTTGGTTTAGAGAGATGCATTTGAAGAAATCTTTTGTACGACATAGCTTCTTTTTAAAGAAATACATATGCACACACACTTTGATAAAGTACATGATCACCACTATCCCCAGAAAGATGGGATCAGCTCAAACCTGCTCTTTGTTCTCTTTTGGGTAGTAAATTGATATTAGTATCATTTTAAAGATGCATAAAAAGGTATATCCTCTCCAATTTCCAGCTTTTAATGCAGGTGTTAAAATTCAGTCATCGTTTTTGATGTATGCCTCCCCGTGTTTAATATATGTCAGTAATCTGCTGGTTTTCTGAGTTTTGTGCACATCTCACTGCAGAGATACAGGCTGAAAGTGTTTGGGCTCAAGGTGGGCCTTTGGAGTCTGTTGCTTCTGAACTGAACTCTCCTGACTAAAGGCCCATTTGTTACTCATGACTTGGTGTCTATTCTAGCTGGCTCTTGTATAGGTAGTGGAGCCAGCAGAGAAAGCTGGTAAACTTGTATCTCTGCAACCTGATTATCAACTTTATTTTCCTGAAGGAGAAGCCGAAGTATCTAAGGTTTATTGATTTGCCTGTAGTCATTCAGTGAGTTGGCAAAGAAGAGAGAATAAAGCCAACTTCCTGGCAGGGTTTCCCGTGCATATAACCCCTTACCTTGCATCGCCTAGACCAGAAGCCAAGATTCCATCTCAGGGAATTTGATCAGAAAACATATGAAAGGTGATTCTAAGACCACAGAAGCATCGAGAAAGTCATAAAGATGTATAATACATGATCGCATTTACCATCTATAAATAGGGGAATGCAGGGAGAAAAATAGAGCTCTTGTAAACTGATTGGGTCAGGAGAAATAGAAACCACTGAATATTTCATTAAAATGGATTTTCATAAACTGCAGTTTGATATCTTTGGGTGAAAGACCATCTGTGAGGTCTGAGGTGATGTTATTCATTACTCCCGCTTATTAATAATTTGAACTGTTATCGAGCCAATGTAACAAGGTGTGTTCTCTGTGAATGGGCCTCCCCGCGCACTGCAGGCTCTAGCTGAAGTGTATTACAAATCCGCAGCCCTTGCTGACAAGAGCACTTAAGGGCGCGAGGGGCAACAGGTCACTAACATTTCCTTTTATAAAAGCTTGCGGTCGCTTCAGCAGCGCATATGATATAACGCGGACACTGGTGCAAAGAGATTGGGGAAGCCAGAGGGGGCAGATGGGTTCACGTGGTCGGTTGGCACTGAGGGAGGTAGAGGTGTTTGCCCACTGTATGAGCTAACGATCAGCAGAGCCCAGCTCCTGGCTGCGGATTCAGTGGGGGTTGGGTGCGCTGGGGTTGGCTTTGGTCCACTCTGCTGCACTCAGAGCCGAAGCCGCATGGAAATTCTGAGAAAGGTTTTGTCCGTTCAGCAGAGAGTACATGGCACCAACGGCAGGCTGAACACAAGGTCAAGTGCAAACTAGAAATCCGCGAGGAGCTAGACTCAGAAACACGAGGAACAGCTCGAAGCCAAGTTTTGAAGGGTCTCTATTGATCCCGAGGTGGGAGGAGAGTGAGCAAAGCGGAACATCGGCATGAACTGCGGGCAGACGCCTGGAGAGGGCGCCGCAATTGGGTCTTCCGTGACAGGCACCCCTGTGGTCGGAGACCGAGCACCTTTGCTCAAAGCCCAAGGCCTCAGGTCTGGGCAGACCAGCCTCTCCCTGCAGGGATCTCCCAGCCCCCTCCCAAGGGTGGCCCAGCTGTGTAGTCGGTTCCTTAAGGGGAAAGAAAAAGAAAGGGTTCTGTCAAGGCTGAGAAATGAAGAGGTCAGATAAGATAAAATTGGATATTAAGGCGTGCTGTGTTTCTAAATGGTACCAGCGTGGCGTGTACGCTTTGGATTAGCAGTAATAAGCAAGTTCAGATTCACTCAGCTCTCCAATTACACACCCGTGTGGAAACAAAGCTTTTCCCCGATAGGAACTCCTTAGTGTCGCCTGCCAGAGGCCACACTCACAGTCACCCTCATGGTCTGGAGGGAGTGTCCAGAGGTGGCCCCTGCAACTCTCACCGCCCATCCAAAGTCGGCAAAGCACGACATGTGTCTCTTCCTTGCCAAAACAAACCAGAAGCCTCTGTCTCGTGCTGGATTCCAGGAGGACTGATTCGTCTCTTTTCCTTCGGTGCAATTCCTCTGTCCCTTTCCTCAAAGCTGGGAGCCCTTTGTTAGTGCAAAGGAGGCAAGAAACTGGAGTGACAAAGCCAACCCTCTCCAGGACGAGCGCCGTGGAGGTTTGAGTGTCTCCCCCTAGGCCTCCTCCCAGGTGTGCGGCCCCAGCACTGATGCCCTCTGTGCCCTGGCCTCCCTCTGTCCCTCGATGACCTGGTCTTCTAACTCCTCCTCCATAGCAGAAAGCGGGGAAGGGAGCCCTTTCCTTTTGCTGTCTGCCCTTGGCAAGGCAGCAGAGGGGACCCTTTGGATCTGGTGAGGCTGCTCCCCAGGGAGCAAGGAGGAGCAAGCAGTGTGGGCTGGGGGGACACAGCCCAGCCTTGGGAGGCTTAGCACAGACAGCAGTGATTTAACAGTGATGGGCCCGAGTACACCTGTCTCCTGTGTTTTGCACACCATCTGAATACAGAACACCATTTTTCCTTACTTGATTGCAGACTACGTGATGCCCAGGGCCTTTTACCCCCACCGCAGCCAGTGTGCTATGAATGACTCTAACTTGCAGTCTGTGCTAATCGGAGTTGCCAGGTGCGGCACCTACAGTCAGAGGAGGAAGGGTTGCACAGCTCTGCTGCTCCTCACTGTCGCCCAAACCCTTTCTACCCTTTCCGTGGTAGAACTGGGAATGCACCCTGAGACGGCATCTGTGGACAGCAAATCTACCTCCATGCTGCCCACACCGTGCCTCCAAGCCATCCGCATAAATGCTGCAAATGTGTCAAAAGAGATAAAAGTCAACCAAAGAAACCACAAGCTTCAGGCCAAGGGTCCAGCCTCAGTTTCTTCATCCATAAAGCAGAGATAGCAATGCTTCTCTCTCAGGGGTCAGGGGAGTAGTGTGTAGAGAACATCTGTCTGGTTCAAAGACACTTGACTATATCCGTGTCCCCTTTCCTCCCTGCCCGGCCAGTGTCCCAAACGTTAGGCGTAGCGTGGGCAGCGTGAGAAGCCTTTGGTTCCGATGAACAAGGGATAAAGGCAGAGTCGGCTGTGAGCAGACTTACGTAGGGGTCTTTGATGCTTTGGTGGTTGTTTGATTTAGAAATGATGGCTGGTTTTTTCCTTTGTCTTTATTATGGATATCAAGAGAAATTCGCGTATACTTGCTCTCATTTTTTTTTAATGGAGGGCACCAAGCAAAGCATAAGGTTCATATGGCAGCTATTGATTTGGACCATCTGGTAAGCTAGGATTCACGCCTACCATGCTGGATCAGAAACTACTCCAGCGAGTTTTTTCTCCCGTAAGAGGGATTTCGGTCAGCTGGGGACAGGGATGGATTTCACTGCAGGGTGGGGATGACAGTGAGAGAGGAAGCTGGAAAGGACTCTGAGAGACCATGGAAGCCCTGACCCCAAAACAGGCAGAGAGAACTGGGGATGCGCTGCGTGACACAGCGCCTGGGACTGAGTGGTACCTGCACCACCTTGCTGCTAGCCGTGGAGTGGGGGAAGTGCCTACGTGAATTTACTCAAAGAGATAAAAGTCAAAACGTGATTGTGAAGCACTTTATGATTATAAAAACGCCTGCAAATAGCCCTCTCTGCCTGCCGGAGTGATGGGGGATGTCAAGTCCAACACAGGGGGAGCAGTCTGTGCGCTCTAAAACATAACACGTCCTTTTAAATGGGTGTTCTGTTTTTCCCCCTCTTTCTTCGCTTCTGGTATGTTTTCTTTTCCAAGGCTTCTTCATTTGCTTGTCCTCAGCCCAATGGCCAGTGGCAAAAATTTCCCTCCCTCCAGCAGTTTAGGAGGACTATTCATTGTTTTCAAGTTGGAGCAGTGTGAGAAATTAACATGTTTTTCACAGTGCTTCTGAAAAAGTGCAGAATAACAAAACCACTGATTCTTTTTTTAAGCTTGTGGGAAGTAAAGCCCAAGAGAATTTTCCCGTCCCTGCTAAGGCTGCTGGAATCCCTGCCCTACACACGAGGGCCCTGGCAGGCCCCGGTAACACTCTCTGATGTGTCTCCAGGTGTTCCAAGCCAATAGCGACGCCTCCGAGGTGGTCTTCAACAAGCTGCACACGCCGCTGCTGACCAGGTTCGTCAGGATCCGCCCGCAGAGCTGGCACGCAGGCATCGCCCTGCGCCTGGAGCTGTTCGGCTGCCGGATCACAGGTGAGATGAGCACCCCCTGGACAGGAGCTGCTCCTGTTCCAGAAAGGGCAGGATTGCAGCCGCGTTCTCCCAGGAGGACTGCTCGAGGACTGGAGTCCCACCTGGCTTCCCCTTTCATTCGTCCTGTATGTTTATTGTTGTCATTGTTTTGTTTCCTTTCAATACAAGGAATGGAACCCAGGGCCTTTGCACTGAACTCATCTCCAGCCCTTTTTGTATTTTTCACTTTGAGATGGGCTGGTTAAGTCACTGAGTTACCCAAGCTGGGAATGAACTTCGATCCTCCAGCCTCATTCTCCCAGAGAGCCGGGATTATCCAGTATGCTTTCACTAGGCATCTACTATTTCTACTAACTAAAATTTATTATCTGCTAACTACATCCCAGCTTCCAATCTCACCTCAGGTGGGTCATCTTTATCCTCATGAGGACTCTGAAACAAGCATGATTATCCTCCTCTTTTTACAGATGAGAGAGCTAAGAGTTAGAAGGCAGGGTCATCCCGCTCGCTAGGAAGTGGTAGAGCCAGATCTGAGCCCAAAACATTTGCTCTCAAATAGCTCTCTCTGCTGCCTCCTTGGGGTCCAAGAGCTATGCATGGACCCGTGGATGCGATGACAAACACACAGGGTCCACTGTGTGGACACGTGGGCCAGGTAGGAAGACTTTTGACAGAAGGCAAACACTGATAAATCGAAACTGTGCTAACTGCCCGGGAACCGAGGGCCACCAAGCTGTGTGTATCACAGAGAGTTGACATGGCCTACGAGCTCAGGAGGACTCCTTGGGGAGGTGCTGAGTCGGGGCGTGGGGCAGACAGTCGCGACCCAGTGACAGGAGGGGAACTCACTGGGCAGTGGCCACAGCTAGCACTAAGGCAACAAGGACAAGGCATGTGTGTGGCAGGAAGGCAATACTGTGTGAGCCGAAATTCAGCAGCATTGCCTGGAGAAGGTGAGAGCAGAGTGGAGGCTTAGGAGGCTGGCACCAGAGGCATTGGTGCCTGAACCAGTGCTGGCCCTTTGTGGGTGGCCCAGCCACCCCATCCCATGGGCTCTGCTGCTTTGTTGCAGGAAGGCCTTCCATGCCCATCGCGCTACCCATCCGCCTTCTGTCCTCTGGCTCTGACTCCAGGGTGTGCCAGGCCCACAGTGTCTGCAGTGTTCTCCCCCTTTCCTGTATGTTATCGTGCTGCTCTTCCTAGCAATGCAGCGTGCGCAGGGACTGCGGCAGGGACCGCAGCTCAGGAGCTAACACCTTGGCCCAAAGCATCTAGCCAGGAGGTGGCAGAGCCAGGACCCCTTCCTGTGTTTTCTAAGCACCCAGTGCCTATTTCAGCACCTTTAAGAGGGACCTGACTTCCCTCTCAGGGGAGCAGGTCAGCCTCATCCTACCTGGAGGAGTTTCCTGCCCCTTCAGGCCAGCAAAGGCGAGTTAGCCAGGATTTAGTTCAAGCTGAAAGGCTCTAATGTACTACAATTGCAAGTTTGGGGACAGCCTTTCTAAGCATAGGACATTTGTACCTTGGGTTGACTAAAGGTTGGTCCAGGGATGATGGAGCGGAAGGGCTTTTGGAGTAGTAGGAGGAGCCTGTGGAAAACCAAGAGATGAGATAATTCAGATGGAAGGAAAGACACAGCAGACTGTCTGTCTACCTGATCACAGTGCTGAGCTCAGCTCCTCTGCACTCACTGTCATTGAAAAGGGTCAGTGAGGACTGGTGCATGGGAAAGGCACACACACACACACACACACACACACTCACTCCCAGGGTCCTCGGTCAGCACCATAAATATAAACAGCTCACAGCTCTTAGCTACTCCCATGAGCCAGCCACGGTTCTCAGAGCCACTCTACGGTAACCAACAAAATCCTCACTACAACCCCCAAGAGTTCAGTCTTCAGACATGGGGAGACTGGGGCACACAGCATTCAACAATCTGTCCAAGTTCAGACTCCAAACAAAATGGTACTGAAAATATTGCAAGGAAACCAGTTCTTCCCACAACATCCCACCGAGGAGCGGGCTCCAGGCCATAGAGCCAGCCACGACCTCCCGTGTTTTCCCTCCTTCTCTGCAGATGCCCCCTGCTCCAACATGCTGGGGATGCTCTCAGGCCTCATTCCCGATTCCCAGATCTCCGCCTCCTCCACCCGGGAGTACCTCTGGAGCCCCAGCTCCGCTCGCCTGGTCAGCAGCCGCTCTGGCTGGTTCCCTCGGATCCCTCAGGCGCAGCCAGGCGAAGAGTGGCTGCAGGTGGACCTGGGTGCACCCAAGATGGTGAAAGGCGTCATCATCCAGGGCGCCCGAGGAGGGGACAGCAGCACAGCAGTGGAAGCCAGGGCATTCGTGCGCAAGTTCAAAGTTTCCTACAGCCTGAATGGCAATGACTGGGATTACATCCCCGACCCCAGGACCCAGCAGCCGAAGGTAGGCCAGCCTGGAGGGCACTGGTGCTGCCTGCATCAGGGAGGTTGAATTGGGTTCAGGGAGTTGGGTGCGCTGATTTCCCATCTTGCTGTGCCGCATGGAATTCCTGAGACACGGTGAAACAGCTATGCACTAAGGGACCGCTTAGTGCCAAACTTTGTACTCAGTACCTTATTTAGACCTTCAGCCCCCCAAAGCACTGCTAGAAGGTCAACCCTTTTGTCACTCCAATTCTAGAGAGGATAAAATTAAGACTTGAGATCATATTCAGGGTCACAGGTTTACCAGGAGTCCAGCCATGATTCAGAAACCATAAATCTCATGCCAGAACCCAGACTCCTAACCACTGCTGCACATTGCCTGTTTATAAAGTTCAAGGCCCTCTTTACCCTCGTTCAGATAAAATTCCTTTGAAGTTGTTCAGACATCCCAAGGGGACATGGTTGCTGAAGACCAAATTGTAAAAACTAGAGGTTAACTTCCAAAAATAAGCTTTTCTTACTGTTGCTGCACCACACTGTACTTTCCTAGTCTTGGCTTCTTAGATCTTTCCTGCCTTTTCATATTGAGGTGGAAAAAAGCAAGAGAAACAGTCACGCTCCACCCTCGAGATCAGAGAAGTGAAGGCCAGGCTTCACCCAGGGCGTGAGGAGCCGAGGGAGGACCTCAGGCCTCCAAGCTACTTTAGATTCATTGCTGATGAATCTGGCTGGCCTCTCTACTCCTCATTCTGAAATTACCTCTCCTCTTCAGAAAAGCAAATCTCCTAAAAAGGAAAGGGGTGTTCTGTGTCTCTGGTTGGCCACTTTAGCTAAGCAGAAGTTTCCATTCTAAATGCAGAAGCCAGGGCTGAGGTGGAAGCTTCGTTGTGCAGATATAAACTCCTGAGTCACAGTTCCAGAGGCTCAGAAAGGCTTGGGCCTTGGAAACCAGATAGAACCTTTGGTGAATGGAGCAGAAGTTAGGCCACAGGCTTTCTCGGGAAAGCTGATTCTGTAGAGAAGAGGTGACCTTGGCTAGGAGCAGAGCCTGTCCTGCTGAAGACAGTGTCCCTCTTGTGGAATCAGGGACCCCAGGCATTTTACAAATTGGCTGGTCCTGCTGTATTCCTGGAGGGCAATCCAAAAGCCACCAGTTTCAACCAGGGCAGTCCCATTGAGACTACACTGAGGTTTCTTCTGATAGAATGACTTCTGTGGAACAGAGGTGTGACCAGAGGAATCGGTCCTTAGCCTGGACCCTTCAGGCTTTCAGTGAACTAGGGACTGTGAACCAATGGAACTTACTAAATGTCAGACTTTCGAGCATTAGAAGCAGAAGCATTTCCTTCTCAGGAAACCAAAGGATTCAGAATGGTCAAGATAGCCTACAGCTGCTCTTTGCTTTTTTAGCAAGGTCAACTTAAAATATGGAGCCAGATTCTTTCCTGAGTGCTTACTGTCCAGCCCAGGATAAAAAGACATACTATGACCTATTTGCTCCGTATTTTCCATGTTTCTGGGCCCCTGTGACCTTCTAAATACCTACGAATCTTGGTGTGAATGTGCACTGTCCCGTGGATTCCACTGCTCTCCAGAAGGGACATGATGGCAGGGTGGCACACACAGATAGAGACTGAGTGACCTGTCTCTCTGCAGCTGTTTGAAGGGAACGTGCACTACGACAGCCCCGACATCCGGAGATTCGACCCTGTCCCTGCCCAGTACGTGCGTGTGTACCCAGAGCGGTGGTCACCGGCAGGCATTGGGATGCGGCTGGAGGTGCTGGGCTGCGACTGGACAGGTACAACTGCTTCCCTTCAGGTGTCCCTTGTGTGGTCTTGTGGCCCCACATCCCTCAATGGCCGGGGGGTGGGAGGGAACCCTGCCAGTCGGAAACCGCAAATGCTATGCTATGGCTCCATGTTTTCCAGCACTGCTAGACCTGGGCGGTTCCTCAGAGCATGTGTTTGTCTTTTTTGAAGGATTGCTTCAGTTCTCCAACCCAAGCCCTCTCAAAAACAAATCATAACCACACGCCACCCACCCAAATTCAATTAGACCCTGACTCTTCAGGCCAGAGGGCCGTGGCTGTTGATTTAGGGAAGAAAAAACCCCTCGCAATAACACAGTAATCAGTTTACGTCTGAATCTGGCCTCCAGATGTCGGTAGCTCAGAGGCTGCCTCCTCCTTGCGAAGCCACATCTGTAAAAGGCGTTTGTTTGTGCAGAAGGAGCCTGGTGCAAGAGAGCTGATGGGAACAGGACTTCGTCCTAGTATGCAGCCGGGCCCCGTGCATTCCCACCAGGCCAGGTGGCTGAGGCCTGGAGCAGAACCTCCAGCTCTCCCCGTGGGGTGTGACCAGCCGAGCTCCCCACCCTTGCCTTCCAAGTCGGGCCTCACCTCCCCACTTGCCACAGCAGGGCTGGCACTAGATCTCTCCCAGAGCTCCTCACCCAACCTTCTGAAGCCACCTAGGTCTCAGAACCCAGCCCAGTGTGGCAGGAGCCACCAACAGACTAAGCTGGCCTGCCCATCCCCACCAGGGCCCCAGGTATCTACATTTTCCTTCCTCTGCTTACCTGACACCACCTCAAAAAGCAGGATGGCCTGATTGATTAATGAGAGCATGTCTGAGAACTGCTTTTGGCACCCAGGTTGAAAATCACTGCCCACGAGCTGGCTCTGAGGTCGAAGCAGGGCCCCGTTAAGATACACACCCCAGGAACCAGGCCCAAGTTAGCACCTCCCAGCGGGGCGTCGGAGACCACTGCCAAAGGCCTTCCTACAGGAAGATGCTTGTTTCTCATTCTACAGGGTGAGGCCCAGCTCCCAGCAGCCTGCACACAGGCAGGGCCTCCCGGCGCTAAACCCTACCTCCTAAAACTGGCTTCATTTGTGGCCACTTCAGAATCAGGAGTCAGCCCTATAGGGCAGGATGCAGTCCAGGCCAGTGGCCTCCAAATATGTTTGATTATGACCCACAATTTTAAATACCGCAACTCTCTTCACTTGGAAACACACACATGTACACGCCATGGATGTGGTGTCTGCTTAAGGGCTGGTGCTCCAGAAACAGATGGCTAAAGTCCTGGCCACTGCCGGTTGTTTAAGCTCAGACAAGTGACTCATGTCTCAGCAGGGCAGTGGGCATAATAGCCCTGGATACCCCTCGGGTTGTGGTGAGGATTACATAACAACGTCAGTGTGTATGTCAGTCGCAGCCCAGCAAACCTGTTCTAAGTAAAGGCCACAGGAACAAAAGGCTCCCAGAACAGTGCCCTCTTCACCTGCTGGTGCACTCTGACATAATCTAATTCCTATCTTTAAAGTACTCGCCATGACCTATTAAATCCATTCTACAGCCTACTGACCAGAGCGACACATAGTCTGAAAAAAAATCACACAGCCAGGCCAAATCCTCTAGGACCGGTGGGGAAACTGAGCCTAGAGGGAAGAAACCACTTGCCAGAGGTCGCTTGGCTAGGCAGGGACCAACTCTTAATCCCTCCCAATCCTTTGTCCAATTCTTTATCTTCTGGGCTGGCCCAGCGCTAGCAGTAGCTGGACGTTACTAATGACCACTGTCCCTGACTCCTCTCCTCCCTAACCTGCCCCAGATGGCACCCGGGATGGGGAGCAGCAGATTTCCTGTTTCAAAGCACTGCCTGGCCCCGGGAAGATGAGAGTTACAGCGCATTACTCCGTGGCCCAGCCTCCTTCTCTCTGAGGTCTCTAACATCTGGTTTCCATTTTGAGAGAAGGCTGCCGTTTGATGGGCAGTTACTCTAGAGGGCCCAGGACAAACCCATGGGCGCAGGGCCCATCTGCTGTTTCTCTCCTTGCATTTACACACCTTGCCCTCTCGTCATCATGCTAGCCTCCAAAGCCCCTGGGTTTAACTTTATCTCTGCCAACCAGCTAACCCGCCTTGCTATCTAACATTTCCAGAAATTCTTCCCCTTAAGTTTAGTGGCTTTTTTGTTTGTTTGTTTGGTTGGTTGGTTGGTTGGTTGTTTTGTTTTTCCAACTTCCACCTATTTCTGCAGCTCATCTTTTGCTCCCTTCTTCAGTCCTTCCCAAAAAAGATAACAGAAAAAATAAGGGGATGGGTTGCATCACTACAACTAAACAGTTCAACAGGGCTGCTTCTCCACCTGTTGGTTTGTTTGGTTTCAAATGATTACTTCTCCCTCTGCCACCTATAGTTGGCTTTACAGTTGATTTTAAGATTCGGTGACACAGTGACAAAATTGAACTTACAAATTAGGTCGCTCTGAGGTGATTTGCTATTTACTTTGAGCAAGAGGCAGACATGGTAAAGGAAAGTATGAAAGGTTATGTGCATAATAATTTAATAGCAAAAGGGTGGGAAGTCAACCAGAAAAAGCTATTCAGCGTATTTAGCGATTTCCTTCAGCTCCTAGCTCTATTAAATAGTATCCTAAATGGTCCCTGACAAAGGTGCCTAATCACATACAGTAGTGCAAAATCACACATTGAAATGGGAGAATCAGTGTATGGACTTCCTCGGGCCATCTTGTTTGAGGGAGTTGTGGAATAGAGACACCGCCCCATGACATGCAGGCCTGAGCACTGGTTTCCACAATCCTTTGCACCCCACCCAGCACCTGACTCATAGCTCCATTCACTTCCCAAATGGTTGCTGAATGACCGTCTGGCATGAACAAATAAGCAAATGAATGCATGAATGAATCACCTAGAGCCCAAATACCTATAGCCAGCCTGCCCCTGCCAGGTTTTACTGCACATGTATTGTAACATTTTGGACAAGCTAGCAACACAAATGAGCTTGTAGATGTGACATGAGATTGGTGACTTCTGGTAGGGGAAAAAACTTTCCAGAAGACCTGGCCATGCTGAGTGTCATTCCCTCCGTTTCTACACATGCTCCTTTGCACCATGCTGGCTAGCCACCTCCTCCACAGAGAAGCCTCATCTGCTGGAGCCCAAGACAGTGCCTCCTTTCAGCCAGGCACGCAAGATCCTGGCCGCCCCCATTCCCACCACAGCTCCCTCCCCTCCTGGCCCAGTCTGCCTCCTAGACTGGCAGTAGCCATTTGGATCTGGGAAGCATTTGAATTTGCCGCGCCCCTAACCTGAGGGCACAGCTCCAAATTAATCTCCTCGCAGACCTGGAGTCCCTCCAGCCAGTATTCCCACCCATCCTCTTCTGAGCAAACACAGCACAAAGTCTGGGCTCGTGCTTCCCAAAGTGCTGAATTTTGCTTACGGCTTTGGTGCTCCCCCTCCTGACTGCCTTATTATTGGTGGTCCTGAAAGTCAGAGCAGCTTTTAGGGTTAGCTTGAGTTCTACATAGTCCTGTCTGACCGGGACAACGCTGCAAAATGAAATCTTGGTATGACGGTGGGGGTGAGCAGGAAAGGTATGCCAGCGGCCTGAGAACCGGAGCACACAGGGCCACTCTCCACACAGTGGGCGTGCTACGTTACACACTGAACTTTCCAAACCAGTTCTGACACACATCATTCAAGCCCTTGGTGTGCGCTGCCCACATTTCTGTCCTAAACAGATTACCCAGAGTGGGCCAAGGATATAGCACAAGCACCTGCAAGGTCCTGAGCTTGGTTCTCAATAGTTAAAAAAAAAATGTCTATCAGAATACCCAGAGCAAGGTCAGCCTCACGGACATCCGGTACAGCCTTGCAAGGCCTCGGTGTGTGGAGTCCAGAGCACAGATTTGCATTCTTGCCTCTTCCATAGCTACTTCCACAGCTCTAGATCATTTGCGTTCCACTCAGGTAGTTCTCACGGCTGTGTCCACACCAAGGGTGACCTCTGGGTTTTGTGCACACGTGAATTTTTGTTTTCATCCTCAGATGCCCATGCTGAGAGAGGAAACTTAGTGTTAAGCATCTGCATCCTCGTGGGTTGCAGCAGAGGCTGCTAATGTGTTCTTCACTTCCTTCCCTTAATCCAGACTCTAAGCCCACAGTGGAGACGCTGGGACCCACTGCAAAGAATGAAGAGACCACCACCCCGTATCCCATCGACGAGGAGGCCACGGAGTGTGGCGAGAACTGCAGCTTTGAAGATGGTGAGGAAGGGGGTGGGTATCACACTACACCTGGGATGGCTGGATGTGGGCCAGGCACTGTGGGCCAGAGGTCCAGGGGTCTCAGGGAAGGGATCAGAGGGGTACAGACGTTTGGAGGCCTGGGGCAGAGGTTTCTTACAGCCCATACAGATGCAATCAGATATTATGACAGCCAAAACCCTCACAGGTATGACTAGTAGTCACCACTGCCCCAAGGTGACTCCAGAGAGAACCTTCTGCAAGAGTCTCACACCTCAGGCCTCACTTCTTGCTTCTCTTGTTGAGGGAAAGCCATTCCCAGCCTTGCAATTCACACTGGTGACATCTTATCCTGTTATACTGAGTCTCCACTATACAGTCTAGGAGAGATCCGTCCATCACTTGGGTGAATGAGCTCAAGGAGTGTGGTGGCCAGGTTAATGTCGCAGTTAACCACAACTTACTCCCTGCATCTTTCGCTGCCACTGACTTAAAAACACACTGCAAGAACACTGCTCAGGGAGGAACCATGCTTTAAGACCGAGTGCAGCTCAGAGACAAGGCATCCTCAGCCCGCCTCCCAGACTCAAGAGGTCCTTGATTTGGGGTCATCTCTTCATAAGGGGGACTTGTTTTCCCTTTATTTTATCTTCTAAGCATCTCTAAGTTAGATAAAAATAATAATTGGCAGGGCCCCCAAGTAAGTCACATCTTAAACCATACTGTTCAGGTCACCAATACCAGGCTGTTCCTAACACCCTGTATGTTTAAAAACACCTGGCATTTTTGGCTGAAATTTAAGGTCGACAGCCTTGATTTACACCGAGTTACTGGTTGTTACTTAACGTTCATTAACTGAAATACGGGGAGGTGGGTGGAGAGATGGCAGATGGGGGTGAACACGGAGATGGGCGGTGCAGTCAGTGAAACCTGCCCCCCGAGGTGGAGAGTGTGAAGGGCTCCCCAGCTCTCTAAGCCATGGCTGTGGAGACTGGGAGGAAAGCCCAACCTACATGCTGAAGTCGTGTGCCTGAAAAATGCTAATTTAATGCATGTGCTCTCGGGGAATGTGCTTTTGTGTGTTGTGTGGGTGAGGGACGCTGTGGGTCAGGGTTAGGCGAACGCAGAACTGGGATGCTTTAAGGAACTCACTTTTGTTTTATGAAGAGAAGAAGGAAACTTGGAGGATCTTCTAAGACATGTTTAAGACAGTCTGTGAGCCACAACTGGGAAGCCTAGGGAGTTAATATATGATCTGGATTCGAAGAGTCGGCTTGCGGGCGGGCCAGGGCCAGGGATCTCAGCTAAATGACAATCCCCAGGAAAATTTAAAGGTTCTGCTGAAAAATTTCCGAAGTTTATTTTTAATATAATTTTACCGTTTATAGTGGTTTGTTTGATTTGAGGTTTCTTTGATGGTTCCACCCTTCTCCCCTTTTTTTTTTTTTTTTTTTTTTTTTGCAAAAGATCTTTTTGTGGAATTTGGTTCCCGAGAAACGGTATGCATGTAAACATTAGGGAAGAATTATGGTATATTGAATTACTTTATATTTTTGAACAGAAAAATAGACATTTAGAAATCGTAGGGAGAAGGGAATGTGAGAGCTAGGGGCTGACTTTTCCAAGCCACAGGTTGATGCTTCTGTAATAGATTCCATGTGTTGCTTCTCAACTCAAGCTGACTTTGGCCAAGGGTGGGCAAACGTTAAGTCTCCTGTCCTGGAGTGGTGGGGGAGACAGGCCTGCTGGCAGTCTACCTCCTGCCCCTGAGTCCCTGCACCCTGTCTGTGGAGGAGCCTACACACACACACACACACACACACACACACACACACACACACCCGTGAGCAGGTTGTCTGTGACAGTCTGTTTTCCCTTTAGACTTCCCAACCCACATTCTAGCACCTGCCCTCGGAAACGTTCCTGGGGAGCCTTGGGAAGGGAAGGGAGAAGGCCCCCGGTTCCCCGCTGCTGCCAGCTTTGCCCAGCACTTTTCCACTGTCTGCACGACCACGACTGGCAAGCCTCCAAATACGCATTTCCATTTCCTCCCTCTGCACCTCTACTTATCCATGTGGTCAGTGCTGCCTCCTGCTGCATCTCTTTAAGGCTGGGAAGAACCCAGAAGAAACCCCCATGCTTCCATCTGGGAGCTTAGACAGGTGAACCTCCAAAGCACATGCCAGGGCCAGTATGTGGTCACTTCTTAGATTTCCATGGGGAGCAGCCTCCATCCCTGGGTCCCTGCTCAGAGGGACTCGGCACCACATAGAATTATTTCTCAGTCTGGTGAGCACTATCCTGGGTGGCCTGCTGCTTTGGCTCCTCTGTCTTCTTCCTGATATGTTGAATTGGCCACCTGGGGCGAGATGTCTTACTGTCCCGATCCCCTAAAATAAAGAAACATAAAGAGGTAAGGGTAGCGAACAAGCCTGCCTTGTTTCTGGGGTCACTTTTTTTTTCACCAGCTAGAACCTCTCGGGCCTCCGCGCCTCTCTGGATGCTAATGGGCTGTACCATCACTTCTGAGAGCCAGGTTGGCAGGAGATGAGATGGTACATTTTTGGGAGCCAGCCTTCCACTGAGGCACTGGGGAGACATTCTTCTCTGGCATTTAGGGAACAGCAATTTTCACATTTGTCTGCTCTCTGGGGTAGACAGAAGAGGCTGATTAGAGCCCGAAGCCATTTGGTGGCCTCATTTATAATTGCTTACTATGGGAACCATTGGCAGGCTTGGCTTTCACGCCTGGGAAGGATGAGACCAAAGCCTGACCTGAAAAGCCAGCGATCGCCAAGATGAGTTAAATGAGTAAGCCAAAGGGAGCCACTGCTTTCTCTGCTCTGCTCAGGCCTTGCCAGCCATTTAAATAGCACCACTGTGGCTGTTCTCTGGACCCGTTTCATTTGCTTTACTCTGGGTTATTTTTCTCCCCCCTTTAGACAAAGATTTGCAGCTCCCTTCAGGATTCAACTGCAACTTTGATTTCCCTGAGGAGCCCTGCGGGTGGATGTACGACCATGCCAAGTGGCTCCGAAGCACCTGGACCAGCAGCTCCAGCCCCAGCGACCAGACGTTTCCAGGTAAGCCAGCTGCAGTTCAGGAGACACAGGTGTGAGCCGCCTGTTGCTCCTTTCCCAGCCCTGGATTCCTTTGCAAGCTTCACATCTTCACACGGCCCTGCAGTTCTTTGTTCTGTGCCCACAAACCACCTCAATCGTTGCCCGAGACATCACCACACAGACTCATCATTGGTGGTTCCCATCACTTTCATGATTACAGTGCAGCCTGGAAGCTGGGAGGGAGAGAACAAGGCCAAGAAGGAAGAAAGAAGCAGTTGGGAGGACCTACGAGATGGATGGGGTCACTAGTGTCCCCTTGTTCCCATTCTGCCACTGTCCCAGAGCCTCTTGACCACGTTAAGCTGGGTATTGTGCCTAAAACAATTCATTGGAATCTGACGCATACTTGTGAGGGCATCACCAGTCCTGGAGCAAGCCAGGTCCCAGGCCTGAATGCTGCCGTGCCTGCATCTGCGACGCCCATGGCTGCATCTAGCAGAGCAGCATTTCGCCTTGGGAGGATGAGTGCTGCCAGTCCTTGAATTATTGCTAAGCCTGCCTTTGGGTTTCAGAAAAGCCAAGTCCCTAGAGCGCATCTGGCACTGGTTTGCCGTTAGCCCTTCTAACCAGGGAGAAGCCAGAGTTACTTGCTATCTTGATTGTTGCCTGCTGTATTCGTGGTGTTCTAGTAAACCTTGGTAACATCTGCCACTTCCAGGGATGTAAATACTCTTCCCGTGGCTCATTTAAGCCCCCAACACAGCGCTGGAGGTGGGGTTGCGTGGTGTGGTCATGGGGCCTGAGGGGGTGTTTTCCCATTGTACAGATACGTAGATATGAATAACCTGGAAAGTAGAGATGCAAGCAAAAACGCAAAAAAAATGGGAAAGCATGGAGTTGGGGGTGTGTGTTACCTTTTGCTTTTCCTATAGTATATTGTAACCATATAATTTAGTTTTAATAATGACCACATTTCACTGCTTGCAAAATTCCAGAAAATTTGACAAGTGGCCCTGCCAACTGGTACTCACCCGCACCCACGCTGTTTTGTTGCATTTTTCCACGACCCCTGGACATTGGGTCCCCCAAGCATTTGAAAGAAAAGGGCAATGTGATAGACCAAATGTTGCCAGCATGTAGGGCCAAAGGCTAGAAAAGAGACAGGGCGCAAGGCTCCCCTTCCACGCTTCACCCCGAGGGCCAGTGCTGTCCCTGTCTCTGGGGACAGGCACAAGAAGAGCACTTGAGACCCCACTCCTGACACAGCCCAAGCTCAGTTTCCGGAGGGTCACAGCGGTCTGCTCTGAAGAAAAACATTTTCATATTTCAAGTGTTTATCTCTTCAGCATCTGAGTGCTCAGAGAGATTCTTAACCAAGCTGCCCCCAGCCTGGGGCACCGGAGAGAACACTTACCTCGTCCCAGTCCTGCTCACCTCCCCTTCTCACTCGCTGCAATGATGTTTAATTAATATAATGAGGCTCTTGCACGTTGGCAAAAAAAAAAATACTTATTTTTATAACTCAGCCTGGATTTTTCATTTCATTTCCTCTCCTTTGAGACTGCATCCAATTAATTGGTGGTTTTTCCCAGGCCCCATCTTTTATCCAAATGCATGGAAGGTTGCAGGGGATTGCACATCACGTCTGGGGGGGTGTGGTCTCTGGGAAGAGTGTGTGCCAGGGGCAGGGGCGCCAAGAACAGAGGGCAGTGAGAGCCAGCTCCCTGTGGTGTGGGCAGATTCTTGGGCTCTCACCCAGGGCCCACCTTCAGGTTCTGATAGTTGTGGTCACCTCTCTCGCACTCTTCTAAGTGAATTACTTCTCAAGGTGTCTGAGGCCAGCCCAGGGAAGCCACTGGTGAGCAAGTGAGTGGCATTTCTAGAGGAGCTTCTGTCATCTCCTCTGCCCCTGGCCCGTACCGCCCTTGTCCTTCACCCCTGCCGCTCCCACATCTGACAGGGTGGTTTTTGGCCACTGGGTGGGAATTCCAGGGTCTGTCCTCCTCCTGGCTGCTGGGGAGGGCCTGTCCCAGTGAGCTCCTGGTGCAGGCAGAATTCCAGCCTTCGGCCGAATGGATGAGGACAGGGAAAATTAGGGGCATATGGAGCTGCTACCCCAAACGTCGTTCCTCCCCTTAGATAACTGAGAAAGAAAACAATTATTTTCCTCTTCCAGAGAAATCTCTGAAGCTTAAGAAAGTAGCACTTGTAACCTTCTTCTGGGAAACAGAATCATAATATTGTTCTCAGGGCCCTTCGCTCTGTCTTCTGCTGATGTTAAAATCCGTTTTCTGTATTTTCCATTTTCCTTCTGCTTACCAAGAAAAAAAAACTGGAGGCAGAAGCTACAATGCCCTTTCTGTTCAGGGTGGTCCTTTCTTCCAAAAAAGAGGAGCCCTGAAGGCAGTGGGGAGAGAGGAGGCAGCTGGCTCGGTTAGGGGCAGGGCAGCCGCTAATGGTTCAGAGCCTTCGTGAGGCAGAGGCCAGCCCGAAAGCCACTGTGTCACCCACGCCGCCACTCCACAAGAAGGAGACCGTTGTCCTACTAAAGAAAGGAAAACCATGCACTCCACCCCCTCCTGCAGCAGGTAAACAGACAGAATTAAATGTCAGGAAAATCAGGCTTCGTCAAGGACCCAGGCATTGCGGGTAGGAAAGGCTGGGGAGCAGAGGAAGGAGCCCCAGAGCGAAGACTCAGACCCAGGCGGCTTGCACAGAAGAGTCTGGAAGCCACTGGCATTCCTGAGATATTTCCCGCTTTAGCTGTTTTCTCTCTTTCTTTATCCCCCTCCTTTTAAGCCAGTAATTAGTTCTGTTTTTTGGCTAGTGGTCATGGTTGCTCGGGGCTGACAAGACACCCACTGGTTTCGTTCCACTGGTTTTGTTTTTCAAGAAAGTCTTTCAAACCACTCGGAATTTCTTTTTTTAGCTCTTTGCTTGTGATTGAGCTGCCTGGAGTGGGTTCATCCCCAACCGCTGGGGACTCTGTCCCCTATTCAGTGACCCCTGGTGGCAGAGGAGCCCGCCCCTCTTCTCTGAGAAGCCACTGGGCCTTTTCTCCGCAGCTACAATGACAGCAGAGCCCTTGGAAGAGTTTGTGGATTCTCTACGCACATTTCAGAGGCTCTGATCAGAGACAGGCTTTGGGGGATGATTCGTATCTTCAGGAAGGAAGTGAAAACTCCTTGAGATGGCAGAGTAGGTCCAGGTAGCTACAGCTGCAGCTCTGAGCAAAGGAGCCACAGGCCTCAGTGAGGTTCTTTACAGTAAAGGCAAGAAGGTTTACACAGCTGAGACTTCAGCTCTGCTCTTGCTCCAGCCAAGTTCCACGGGTGCTACCTCACTGGCTGGAGAAAACAGAGTGTCACACGGTACACGCTGTTCAAGGGCCCTTGGACATTAATATGACAACAACCAGGGGGCTCTCTGCCTGCTTTTCACTCTGATTTTATGTAAACTAAGGAGCAAACAACTGGGGAGGGGTCTTCCCTGTGATCTCTTGCTGAAAGTCTTCAGTTGTGTGTGTGACATTAAGAGTTTCTCACTGAGCAATCATAAAGAAGGCAAATGACATAGCATGAGGTGGTGCAGGAACTATTTTTTGTCAGTTGAAACAAGCACCCTAGGGCTGCAGTTAGAGCTCAGTACTACAGTGCTTTGCTTGGCGCTTACCTCCAGGACTGGAAAAAGAGCATCCTAAGCAAGTGCTAAGTAATGCCAATAAAATAATAGCTAGTATTCTTGTGGTTATCACTACTGTCAAAAATGAGATGAGAACAGGAATAAAAAGTCCCACTCCAGGTCAGCTTCACAACCTTCAAGGGTGTGGAACTCCTCAGTAACTCTTCTCTAGACAGCTGACCTTGTGAGGTGTGATTACAGGGTCCCTCATGTCGATAACCTGGGATCATGACAGTGATGTACAGAAAGCAGGCAGAGCCATCTTGGACTCGTGTGACATTACAAAAGGAGAAACTCTGCCTGGGTTATGTAAGAATGGAGAGCGCAGACCTTTACTGTGGGCTCAGAATCAAGTTGGAGTGGAGATGTCAAGGTTCTTACTATTCAGATTTTACAAATGGCGCCCACCCCTCCAAATGTAAGTGGGTACATGTGATAACGCCTCCTTGGGGCTGGCATGGCATAGCCTGGGCTGTTGAATAAGCCCCAAGAGAGTGGGAAAGCAGAGCTGTGATTCACTATGGATGTGCACAGGAGAAGATCTAGTGAAGTGTGGGTGGGACAGTGGGTGGGTGGTTGTGGAGAAATCAAAGAATTGATGAATGAATTGACGTACATGGGCTTGGTTTTTGCCAGTGAGCTAGCAGTGACTCAGAATTAGAAAGCAATTCTCTGAACTCAAAAGGCCAGGTGGGATTGATGGCATCGAGCAGTGTAGACCTGGGATTGCGTGAGGTTGAATTGCCTTCGGAAAGAGGCTGCTGTGGTTTGGCTGGGGCACAGCCACCACGATGTTAAGTGCAGAAGCTGCTTGCACTTTATTCTTAATAGATAAGGACCAGAAGCGGTTTGGCTTTTTCTTTTAAAAAGCCAGTTTTCAAGGGATAATGAAACAATAGTCTCTTCTTTAAGGAAGATAAGGAAAACATGTCTGGCTTTGTTAAAAAAAAAAAAAAAAAAGAAGAAGAAGGGACAGGCAGACAGAGAGAGCAGTAGAGAGGAAGTGCTGTCACTCCTTTTCCCCGAAAGCCATGAGTGGCTGGCCTCCCTTGCAGTGTGTGGGTGGACAGTGAAGGTGTAGAATATGACAAGACCGTGTAGATGGCAGGACTTTCTGTGAAGGCTGCCCTAGAAAAACAAATGGCAAAGCAGCACTCGGTAGCCTGCTGCAAAGACCGGGCCTGAGCCTCCCACGTCCACAGAAAGAACGCTCCGTGGTGAACTTTGAAAACATCCTGCGGAGTTCACCCAAGTCAATGTTTCCCTTAACTGGTTGTTAATTTGAGGACCTTCGCAGAGACAGACTGACCTTGGAAGGCCAGCAGAGGGGCTGACGCGTG